GTACACGCCATCGCTCAATATGTTGAGTGTACGTTAAAGTTTAACGATTGGCTCGCCACTGTTACGGTGAAAATTAGTTTTTCGCGGGGAGACTGAAAAAATGACTCAAAAGACTGGTTGTAAATTGTGCAAAATTAATTCAGTAGCACGAGTTTGCATGATGGCGTCACACGCGCACTGCATGCTGTTATTTGTAGTCAAACTCCCGGGAAACTCCCGGGAGATTCAAAACAATAGGGACCTTAAGATACTCTGGACGCGGCCGAGGAGGACGGCAACCGGAAGTGAAATGTTCAATTCTTGGAACTAATTAGCATAATGCCACAGCGTCGACCTGAAGTCGCGACGGTGAAAACTAGAAGTTTGGCCGCCTCGTAAAACGGTGAGTTGGTTTTCTTGTTTTCAGTGCAGAAATTGCTTTTCGTACAGGATTTTCGATCCGTTTTACTTAATGAGACACATTTAAGTGTTTTTAGTGAGGTGTTCTCTCAAGATTGCCTCTTATTTTTTTGCTATCAAGCCTTTTGGGTTCAGTGTTTTGGCGGCAACTGAGAATGAAAGTGCTGAGTCTTTCGACACAAATGTAACACTATAACTGCTTGTTTTTAAGGGGACAACGTTCTCGCTTTAGGATAGTATTTGAAAACTTTAAGAGACAAGAAGTCGAATAAAAATTGTTGAAAAACAAAAAATCTAGGCTTGTAATAAACTTGAACATGTCGGAGAAAATTGAGATCTTGAACAAGACGCCATGGTTCATTTATTAACTTTTATAATTTTATTTTGTTCACTTTCAGTTCAGCGATGGAGTGGTATCATGTCGTTTTAAAGCAAGATCTAGAACAACGGAAAGCGAAAACGTCTGGCAACAAATAGCTGATAAACTGAACTCCGATCATACCCTCAAGTTTCCCTCGAAGAAATTCGTTTTTTTTTTTTTAGAGAAACTGGAGTTATAGCCGGCAGCACAAATTTTTCTTCCAATAAAAGATCGTTAAGGTATCAATCAAGCAAGACTTCACGACTTATGGAATTAAAACACGAAAGCATTACTTTATCCTCTCTCGTCAGGCGAGCACTCAACCCAACCTGCTCAATCTTAATTTGTTTTTCCCGCGAAGGTGGCGGCGTCCTCGCTCCAGGCTTTCTCCGTTCTCTTTACCGCCCCGTCCAGGGTATCTTAAGGTCCCTAGTATATCCAGACTTTACGATTGTCAACACAGGATTTAAACTGAAACAATAAAGGTTCTGTCAAAGGATGCCTTCCTAACTGAGAAAACGTTGCCTAGTCCCTGTACGGCGTTTTCCGAGTCCCTCTCGGTCAATTCACTTCGCTTGGACCACGTGACCCGAAACGCTTTGGCCGCGCGGAATATTGAGGCCTCGGGACTAGGCAAGGGAAAACTTAGATTTAGACTTGCATAAAGTGATTTAAAAAGGGGTATTGGGATTGAGAACGACATCAACAAGATGCATCAAAGACATATATTTACATTTACAGCTGCTTGATAATAGCACATTTGCATGATGACGTGTGCGCGCACTGCATGCTGGTATTTTTAGTCAAGAAAAGAACAAAATGGCGGCTCGTAGTGGAGGCGGGTTCACTTGTTGTGTTCCAGGCTGTTTTACGAACAGTAAAAGAGACACGCATCTGTCGTTTTATGTTTTCCCAAAGGAAAAGAATTTGAGGCGTCGCTGGTTACACTCAATATCGAGGAAAAATTTCAAGCCGACCACTGGACACCGAGTATGTAGCTTGCATTTCAGAGGAGGAAAAAAAAACCTACATGAACAATGTTCCTGTTTTTTTTTTTCCTTTGGCAAAATCTCATCCCAGGCGGTCACCCGAACCAAGGAGAAAACTAATTGTTCACAAATCTTCGACATCCAACCAAGAGACGCAGCCTTCACCCAGTTTAACAGCTTCGACCACTACATCAAAGGCTGATGAGTCCGAGCGTGATTGTCAAGAGATCAGACGATTTAGAGAAGAACTGGGAAACGTTCTACGTTTAAAAGGATCGTTGGAATGGATCTGTCCATCCTTAAATTTGGTTTAAAGCGTTTTAAAGAATCAGAAAAGGATATGATCTTCTACACTGGTCTGACCTTTGGTCAGTTTTTGGCATTATTCAATTTCCTAAATGCCCATGGTATTTGTTATCGTCTAAATTACTGGGGCTCTGATTATGCTAAGGTACAATTACCTGATATAGAAAAGAAGGGACAAAAGCGCTTCTTAGAGCCTGATGATGAGCTTTTTCTGACATTGTGTAGATTGAGGGGTAATATACCAGAGAAAGTTCAACTTCCTGTTTGGGCTACGAGAAGAACAGTTGAAGAAACAATGCCCGAAGGTTTTCGGCAGAAATACCCACACACAAGGGTCGTCCTTGACTGTACTGAATTATTCATCGAAAAGCCCTCATGTTTTCGTGCACAATCTGAAACGTAGTCTTCATATAAGTCCCACAATACAGTCAAGGGCCTTGTTGCAATATCACCTAATGGTGCTTTAACCTTTGTGTCAGATTTGTATGGAGGTCATTGTAGTGACAAAGTTATTGTTGAGCATTGTGGCATTCTACAGCTTCTTGAAGAGGGTGATGCAGTAATGGCAGATCGTGGTTTTGAAATCCAAGACCTATTAGCCTCGAAGAACGTTTACCTTAATATTCCACCCTTCATGAGAAGTAAAGACCAGCTAAATACTGATGAGGAAGATTAAACCAAGGAGATTGCATCAGTTTGCATACACGTGGAAGAGGCTATTGAAAGAGTGAAAAACTTTAACATTGTTAAACAGATATTACCAAATTCTATGGCTGAAGATGTTGACAAAATTTGGAAAGTTTGCCATTTACTGGCTAATTTCTAGGGGACATTGGTTAAACAGCAAACTTTCCAAATTTTGTCAACATCTTCATCTTTTTAAAATAACTTCTTGAATATGTAACAAATACAAGGTGCATAGTATTGGTGTACAGGATTTACCCAATAAGTGTTTGATAAAGTAGACATGTTGTGTGAAAAAGGGAAATAAGCACCAAATAGAAAAGATTTTGACATTTCTTTAAAAAATTCTCATTGGTAGCATGGGAAATGCATGAAAACAGTGTGGAGAATATGCATACTGATGCCAGGGTTTAAAGGATTAATTGAGGAAATATGGTATTTGTAATTTGACAGTAGTGGTAGAGGAAATATTGAAACTTAATGCAAATGTATATCTTCCAGATAAACAATTTTCATGCAACAGGTGAAGGTACTTAAAATATTACAGGCTTGTCACTGAGAAGTGGCCAGTTGCCGTCAAAACCATCACCTACTCAACTGTAGAGGCTGGTTATTCTGCTCAGTAGTTGTTTAGAAGATGTGATGAACTGTTAAAAATTGCCACTTTTAAAAAGTCACCTGTCAACTGACAACATTCTTGCAACGCTAAATGGGTTATAAACGTAATATCAAGTTAACAAACCAATGGCTTATCTCCGTGATTACATAAATATCTGCAGGCATTGAACTTAATCAACTCTTTGCATAGTTCTTAAACCTATGGACATTTTTTCCTGGGGTGATTATTTTCAGTCATTTATAGCAAAAAATGTTTGGTACAAAGGGATTCCTCTCTTCGCACGTCCAGTTAGTAACTCAGGAACCATAGCATAGAGATAAAAGTCAAGAAGCTTTTTCTTGATTGCTTCCCAGAATGTGGGATCAAAGAAAATTCTTTTGATGTGTATTCACGATTCATGAAATACGTGTACACAACAAAATCACACCATGGCTTTCTAGTGATTGCCATACTCCCCTGAACTTGTTTATAGTATGAATGTTTTTGTTTGAGTCTGAATCCTGATTCTGTAATCTCCAAGCAGAAATTCTTGGTGTGTTTTGCAAGAACTTTAAGTAATGAAGTTTGCTTAGTATCCACTTGTTCCTTTAGCTTTGATGGGAATAAGTTGTATTTTGCCTCAAGGTTTCCAGTTGGATGATATTTATTTGTTGGATCACTGACTTCACCATCAACACTTGCAGCCAGCACAGGATTATCCTTATCAATAACAAGGCCTTTATCTTTCACAGTGATGTCCTCATGACCATTGTTTTCTTGATGTTGAATGTATTTACCTGTGATGACTGGTTCCATTTCCAACCCCACTTGACACTGATATGGTATATTTGGCCGGCAGTTGTACTGAAACACATCCCTCACAAGCCTGTCAGGGAGTGTAGTTACTCTCCTGTTACTGATTTCACCAAATTTCGATGCAGTTAGTCTTCTACATCTGTATTGAAACCAATCTGAGTTGCTAGATTGCCCTCTTGTTTTTTCCTCAACAGTGTTGATACCATCTTCAGTTATTTTGATGGTTTTCATTTACTCTTTACAAACTGCTATAAAGTTCTCATCAGTTAAATCCAAGTCATCTGGGTAGCACTGTGTGGGATTGGGTATGGTAAAGTTACTATTGCTTTGAAAATCAGGATCATCATTTAAAGTTTCCTCAGAAATCATAGCTTCATCAGTTTCAGTTTCTACAATCATGCTAGTTTCACTCTGTTGTTCAGGTAAGTTAGAAATTGCTACAGAATGGGAAATGATTAAGTCTGAAAAAAGTTGATGTCTAGTGGCTCACACTGATTTTCCCCAAAACAATGCACTGGGGCTTTCTTGAAAAGATGATCTAATTCACATTTAGAAGCTTCTACCTCTGTCTAAGTTTCATTTCTTTTATGTTTACCAGGTAGATAATCATGATCAACCAGAACAGTGTGTTTAGCAAACTCATCTTCTATTGTTTTCACAGTTACAGGCTGCCAATCATTGCCTTGCAACACATTGAGAATTACTGCATTTGACTCCTTAGGCAAATTTTTTAATTCATTGTAGAGGCCCTTAATCTGTTTCTTGTAACCTGTAGAGCAGAGGAGGGACATGATGAATATGCCTCTTTCTCGTTTTTCCTTTCAGTCCTTTTTTGAGTCTTCTTTCTTTAGTCAGCATCATAATCATGCTTTATCATCAGTATATCTTTGAAAAGAACTGGAACTTTTGAGGTTCGTTGGGTTGGTTTATGCCACTGCTGAGGCCTTTCTGTGCAAGAAGTGTTTGGAGGAATCTGCCCAAGGCCACATTCAGAGAAGTCAAGTATGGCATACAATAAGGCCCCAACATGTTTACAGTATCCATTACCGCCAGCTTTATAAGTGCATTGAGCAGCAACAACTTCACCTGTTTTGTTTTGACTGACTTTTGTTCTATACATCTTGTTTCTGGTCATAGAAGCCTTTACTCTTGCATCAAAAAAGCAGAAATCATCATGAGAGCTGTTAAATTTTACATCCAAAACATGGGAAGCCTTAAACAAAGCGTACCCTTCTCGTTTGCTTTTAAACGCCCCTCGTCTTTTTTCCTTGCTGTTTCTCCCTCCATACAGATACGAAAATATAAAACAATGTTGAAACTCCGGTGCTTTTTCTAGGCTTAAAGTCCAGCCTTCTTTGGGCTACTCAGCAACCTTGTCATCACGTTCACTGCCAGTACCTTCGAACTGTTTTTTTCCAGTGGAAGTGAATTCCCCCATCAGGATCAGTTACCTTCATGTGTAGTCCACTGGAAACATAATCTTTCACCCTGAAAATTAAATATTGGCAAAAAAAAAATTAAAAAAAACCCAGCATGGATGCGCGGATGCCAAAACACTGCACAAATGTCATGTTTACCTTTCAAGTAGTTGCACGCGAGTGCCAGAAAGACTTGCCCCTCGGCACCTCAACCAACGTTTCAACTCATCGTTTTTTAACTGTTCAGGTTTCCGTCCCTTTAAAGATACCCCAGCAACGTCATCTTCCGTTAAAATTGTTGGTAAAGTTTTGTTCTTTGACCTATTAACATCTTTGAACGCCTCGTTTGCCGCCATTAGGGACCTTAAGATACCCTGGACGCGGCGGTAAAGAGAATGGAGAAAGCCTGGAGCGAGGACGCCGCCACCTTCGCGGGAAAAACAAATTAAGATTGAGCAGGTTGGGTTGAGTGCTCGCCTGACGAGAGAGGATAAAGTAATGCTTTCGTGTTTTAATTCCATAAGTCGTGAAGTCTTGCTTGATTGATACCTTAACGATCTTTTATTGGAAGAAAAATTTGTGCTGCCGGCTATAACTCCAGTTTCTCTAAAAAAAAAAAAAACGAATTTCTTCGAGGGAAACTTGAGGGTATGATCGGAGTTCAGTTTATCAGCTATTTGTTGCCAGACGTTTTCGCTTTCCGTTGTTCTAGATCTTGCTTTAAAACGTCATGATACCACTCCATCGCTGAACTGAAAGTGAACAAAATAAAATTATAAAAGTTAATAAATGAACCATGGCGTCTTGTTCAAGAT